GTTCGGTCGCTCGACCACGCCAATCCCTAGTAAAGGTTGCGCGTCGCGCCGAAAAGTTGGAAAATGATGCAACTTTACCTCGCGTTCGCGCGTTCGACCACGCCAATCCCTGGTAAGGGTTGCTCGTCGCGCCGACAAGGTGCAACTTTACCGCGCGTTCGCGCGCTCGACCACGCCAATCCATGGTAAGGGTTGCCTTCCCGATCGATGGCACGGTGCTGGCTCCGGCTTTAGAAAGAATATTTAAATACACGGAGATGTAAATAAGTCGGATGCAGACAACTCGATGTATTTCATTCTGATATACTATGCACTTGATACTATGTACTTCACTCGATGTACTTCAGTCTAATGTACTTCACTCTGTGTACTATGCACTTGATTCGATACAGTTCACTCGATGTACTTCACTCTGAGGTACTTCATTCTGATGTACTTCACTCTGTGTACTATGCACTTGATTCGATGCACTTCACTCGATGTACTTCACTCCGATGAACTTCACTCTGTCTACTTACTCTGAAGGGTTCCGTATAGAAGAACCCTTCGCGAAGCTTTCGAGAAAAGCATATTTATACATCTTATTTATTTTATATCATATATAATAGTACTAGGGACAATTCGTCAATTTCATCGATAATCTCTAGAGAATATGCCACCATCCATATACTCATAAATACAGACAGGTATAGATAGAAATAAAAAAAAATTTATAAAGAAACAAACAAACGCGTACACACACACACATACAAACAGACTTACAAACACAGACAGACAGACAGACAGACAGACAGAGACAAACAGACAAACAGACAGAAAGAGACAGACAGACAGACAGACAGACAGACAGACAGACAGACAGACAGACGGCCAGGCAAGCAGGCAGGCAGGCAGGCAGACAGCCAGACAGACGCAGAGACAGACGCAGAGACAGACGCACAGATAGACACACAGACAGACGCACACACAGGCGCACAAACAGACGCACAGACAGACGCACAGACAGACGCACAGACAGACGCACAGACAGACACATAGACGGACACAGACACAGACACACACGCACAGAGAGAGAGAGAGAGAGAGACACACACACACACACGCGCGCGCGCGCACACACGCACACACACACACATGCACAATGAGCCACACACACACACACGGAGAGACACTTGCATTTAGGCTTGTTTCGAATCGAGGAATCGTAAAAATTCCCGGGATTCTTTTGCATTCGCGAATTCGTAAAAAGCCGGGTAACTTTAGATGCAGAAGGGTAAAAATCCTGGAGATTTTCGGGAATCCCCGCTCTTGCGTCCATGCAAGGCCACAAGGTCGACAAAAGGAGGCAGGACATCCAAGGAGGTGCCCGCACAAGCAAAACACAGCCGGAATATCTGCGAATCTAAATAATATTTCCTGTATATAATCTTATAGTTCATGCTCATTTCGTTGAGAAATCGCACGTATTTAATGCTAATAAAATGTGCCTTGATTCCCGAACCATAGCGTAAGGAAAATTCAAGAAATTTATTGAAAAGACAGCTCCACATCTCGAAGAATATTCAAAATTATGTTTGGGTTTTAGAATGTTAGCAGCTATTGATAAAGACATTCGTACTCACTTTACCATCCATATTATACGTATATACATTCATTGATTTCTTCGATTCATTTTAGCAATGTGTTGGCCTTGCCTTGACATCTGACCAGCAAAAACCTGGGTGTGCGTGTCAACATCTTCTGCAGAACCCGATGTAAGACCCATGCAGACTCGAAATTCTCCGCCATCGTCATCCCTGCACTTCAACATTTCAACTCTACAGCCCTATACGGTCAAACCCTCACCCAAAACCCTAAACCCCTAGAAACCTAAACCCTAAACCCTATAGCCCTGTAACCCTAAACCCTCAACCCTGCTATCACTACAATGGTGACACAGGCCCACATCCAGCCCAGAACTGTACAATCAGACCTCACCAGGTCCCGGAGCAGGGGCCTCACAGCAGATTCGGGGATCCAGGGGGCTATGAGGCTTTGGGGTTTAGGGTTTAGGCGGGATCTTCGGTGGTTCTGGGAGTACTACTGGGGAATTATAAGGGTGCTCTGTAAGGGCAGTAGGCCAAGAGTTTCGGGGTATACCCATCTGGGAAAGTCGATACTTCGGCTCTTAGCAGGATACATCTCGTCACCTCCAACTGCCCCTAAACCCTAAACCCTACGCCCTCGCAGGAGTTGCCTCGATCACCTCCCAGAGTGCATAGCCGTTGGTGTTCACGTTGGCATAGTTGACAGAGTCGAACTTCACAGTCACGGGGTACTTGACCTGATCTTTAAACGACCGGAGCAAGAATCGAGACCCGAGCCTCCGACCCGCACTCATCGGACCCTAAACCCCTATTAAAGGGAATTACAGGTGGTGAGTTTAGGGTTTTTTAGGGCTTCTATAAGGCTCCTATAACGGTACCTAAACCTCGACCCCAGCCCCTCTCGAAGACCCTGCAGGAGTGCCTCAGGCTTCTGGTTCACGTTCACGACCTGCCCCCGCTGCTGGAACCTGGAGGAATCAGTGCACCAAAGCTATGAGACCACTTTCAATACCAAGAATCTCAGCTGTCGTGAGTTGCAGTGCCTGACTGAAGGGCTCTGTACGGAAAGACCGTAAACTCGAGACACCAGACACTACATCCAAGCGCTAAGTAAACATACCAAACCCCAAACCCCAAAGCTTGGGCTTGCGATTTGCAGAAGAGCAGCCAATAGGACTCCGGCCGCAGGATCTTTACCCAAGAACCTGGATGAGTGGAAACAATAAAGTCTCGCGGTGTAGAGTTTCTAGAAAGTCAAAAGACCCTAAACCCTAAACCCTTGCAGCTGCGCGAGTCTAGGCCCAAAGCTTTGATTCTCGGCGCGGGCCGGGGTGGGGGGGGTTCAAGCGATAGCTGAAGGACAGCTCTCGTGAGAGCATTCAATTTGTGACTATGTATCTTGTCTTGGAATTTCGGCCAAAGGGTTCAGGGAAAGAGGGCTCTCAGTTTCGGTGATCAGTTCAAGGTGTAGGCTTTAAGGTGCGGGTTGTATGGTTCAGGACGGGCACGCATGCAGGCATGAACACCACGCGAACAAATGCACTTTGTGCAGCTGTGTCTTCAAGGAGCTGGACAGAACCTCACAAGGGCCATGTCACCTAGGACGTACTTAAACTCCCCACAAGCCGATATCCGCAAGAAGAGTTCTGAGCTGCCAACCCTTCTTGGGGCCCACCCACGGTCCCTTGGCCTTGCACGGCAAGTGTTCCACTTTGATGGGACTGTGCAATGATAAACTGAAGTCGCAATGCTCTCCACTAGTGAGTCACTATTGGTCCAGCTGTCTACCAACTTGCCACCAAACACTGATAAGAGCTGAGCTGTTGTCTCCAGCTCCCTCGCGTGATGTGCAGTTCAGAAGATGTCCCGGCCCGGGCCTTCTTCTTTGGTGCTTTCTTTGCCTCGCCAAGTCAGGTATTACGCGTGAAAGCAAGGTTCGCCCGATGTGAACGCAGTCGATCTCGCTTAAAAATCTTGGCAATGCAGCATCTGCAGAGGATGCCCTCTGTCGGCTGCCTGGATGAAAACACCAAAGCCTCTGGCATGCTGGCAAATCGGTAGCACAGCTGCACCCTGCTCACCAGCCACCCTGAAACCAACTTCCCCGTCATGCTGTCGAAGCTATGCGTGCTGCGTTCTATAGTAATGGGAAAGGTTACAGCCGCACGGCCAGCACAAGGCACCCGAACACAATGCCCTGAAGCCCGAAACCCTAAACCTTAAACCCTAATCCCGAAACCGTAAACCCTAAACCCGGCCTCCGCAGCCAGTGCCGTTGCAGACCGCCGAGGCGCGGCGCTCCCTGCAGTCGGCCCGACGAAACTAAGGCCGCACCACCTGGGCCGGATGTAACCCTAAACCCTAAACATGATAACTAGAACACTTGGATTTAAGGTCTTTGTGTGGGTTCTCTAATAAAATAGCTAGATAGGGGTGCTTTGAATTTGGGTGCAGGGGTTAGAAGGCCGGAGCTGCGTTAAGGGAGACACTTCGAGACGCAACGCGCTGCAGTCCTCACCCCAATTCAAGCTGCCGGCTGAGGAGGATTGTGCGAAGCTTGCGACTGAAGCTGATGCTCTGCAACACTGTACGAAAGAGTAATAATAGAGCTGAATAAACGAATTGATACGTTGCTACAAGCGACTCAGCCGAAAGCTATAAGAAGTCTTTGCCACGGCCGGGGCACACGGCCAGGGCCGCAACGACAAGAAGCTGGCTGAGCAGTGATCGCCTCATGGTACCTCCGAAGTCAGAAAGGGTGTGTATAAATAAATAAAGAAATATATATATATATACATATGTACATATATATATATACATATCGACATGTTTGTATATATATATATATGTTTTAATGGCACCTCCGAGGTCAGAGACGGTCTGGGAGTTTCGGATTTTAGCGATGGAATGTAGGGCTGGCGCAGCGTACCTCCGAAAAGGCTGGCCCGGTGCACCTGCTAGGATCCTGGTGTCGTCTGACTTGAGCCCAGGTAGTACGGTTTAGGGTTGAGAATTTCAAGCGTGAGGAAGGACTTTTGCAACAGCATGCACCAAAAACGCCCAGACTACTCCTGACTGCAAAAGTGAGCTCGAAGGCGGGCTTGCAGAAGCTTTTTTTCAAGACCTTTCCTCTGTGGGCCGGCAGCGAGTTCCTATTTTCGCTAGGCGAGCAGCTCGGACAGCCGAAGGACTTCAGCCTCCTACACGCCGAGGAGGGGAAAAAAACGACTTTGAATCAGCGAAGAAGAAAGAGACCAAGAAAGGACATGCGATAACAAGAATAGCTAGGGCTAGGGTAATCTATGTGTATGCATGTACATAACATATAGCACCAGTAAATACATGCATGTACACACGTATGAGTGTTTGAGCCGTGTATTGCGGGGGTCACTGTGCCTTTTTATTCGTATCAACATTTGTATTGCTTTAAGCGGCCTCCCTAGATAGGGCCTATACCCCCCAAACCCTAAACTCTAAACCCTACACCCTGAACCCTAACCCCTAAACCCTAAACTACCCTAGGATTAACTACTCACTCATACTCTACATCCGCTGCTTCATTGGCCAGGCCACGAGCGAGGTCATGGGCCGGCGGGGCTTGTCAAGTCAAGGCTGAAAGCCCCACTGGATCCCTGTGGCTCCAGTTACCTCAATAGTAGGCTATAAATAAATGAATGAACAGATGAATGAATAAATAAATAAACAAAGATATACAATATATATATATGTATATACATATATGTATGTATGTATATATATATATTGAGCATATATATATACATATATATATATATGGGGTTTAGGGTTCAGGGTAATTGGGCTTATCGAAATAGTAGATCTTTTGTAGGTAGGGTTTAGGGTTCTGCATTTACCGGAATAGTAGGTCAGTAGGATACTTAACACGTAGTGTGCAACCCAGTATCCCCATGTTTCGGTAACTGGAGCCCTACGGGATGTGAGCATTTCCGAAAAGCCAGCGGCCCCTTTGAAGAAGGATCGAATCAATAAAGGCGTACCGTTAGGGCTTGGGGGTTCCCGCCTTTTCGGAAACTCTTAATGTGGTGACACAGGATGAGATGCCCTGTAAATTTTACACCCGCTATCTTTCAGGCCTTCTCATCTGACAAGAGCTTTCTTGCTTCTGCCGATTGTGTTGGCTGCTGCGAGTTCAGTTGGGTGATGACTTGGTCCGTCACGAGCCAAGAGACCAGGATCAGCAGCACACAGAGGCCGAAGTAGACGCCCGGAGAGCCATCAGCAACCATGTTTGGAATTGCTGCGGCCAGCGCAGGTCCTGGGCAGATGCCGACCAAGCCCCATCCGAGGCCGAAGAATGTGGCACCCAGCACCAGTGATCCGTAGTCTCCGGTTTTGGACGGCCGCTCGAACTTGCATTCCTCTCCGCAAAGAGGCTTCCTGTCCTCGTTTTCTGCAACCAGAAATGCCGGGAAGGAGACGCAGAGCCCCAAGCCCATCACGAAGGCCAGGCTCGGATCCCAGGTTCCCCCAAAGTCCAGGAAGTCCAAGACCTTCGCTTGACTGGTCATGCCCGAAACGCCCAGCCCCAAGCCGAAGATCATCCCACACGCCAGCGGTGACACGACGCTGCGAGGCTTGGACGGCAGGAACAATGCTAGTGCAGCAAGGGCCAAGCTGGACAAGGCTGCTGCAAGAGGGAACTCCCACTTGGGTGGCCACTGGAGCTCTGCCACTCCCCACGGACCACTGGCATCAAGCTTGGCTGCATGCCTGGTCACTGCCACGGTTACAGCAGCTACGCCCATGAATGTCGGCACCGCAATCCAGCTGCGAGGCGCAAGGCGCGGAAGTCCGCAGATCCCATGGCCGCTGGTGCATCCGCGGCCTGCTCTGGTGCCGATGCCAACGAAGACGCCACCCCAGCAGTACCTTCCGATTGGGAAGTCCAAGGCACCTGGGAATGCAAAGCTTTCATTGAATTGGAAGTTCACAAAGCCGCCGACAAGAAGGCCAAAAAGAAAGAGAGCCTTCCAAAGTTGGCCATCTCTCATCGGCTCGCACTGCCCCATGCCGCGCAAGAAGGGCCCCGCGATGCCACTGATTCCCGTGATCTTCCCGTCCCCCAGGTATGCGAGGGCGGCTGACATGCCGATCAGCAGGCCGCCCACGCCGGACTCGATAGGAGTGAAGGCCATGGGCTCAATTTGCCAACCTAATCAGCCCGCAACGGTCGCTACTGGATGATTTCGAGCCACATCTATGTCGGTGACGCCAGCATTTCTCATGACGAACGGCCGCTGCACTCCATGCGTAAGACTGGAGCAATCTGGCGCGCAGCACACGGCAGCGAAGATTGCCAAATTGATTCGGTAATTGTTCGCGTGTTGGCTGAACTTGTTGCCATTCTCTTTGCGCACGTCCTATTGCATCTTGTAAATTCCAATAAATCGGGCTTAGGTTGCCCTGCAGAATCCCACCAGTGCTTGGGGGAAACCATTTTGGCGAAGTCTCCAAATCCCGCCAGTTTACGTGGGGCAGCTTTAGCGGAATCCCGCCAGTGCAGGGGAGATGCCCCCGGCTTGTCCAAACTTATTGAAAAGCTCGTGATGCTGCAACATCTTCCTTCAAGACTGCTTCCCATCCCGACCTTGCAAAAGTCCAGAACCCAGACCCCTTCCAGAAACTGTCAACCGAAAACACGTTTGCGAGACTTTCATGATTTTAGGATGGCGGTTGATCACCCGCCCCCTCATTTACTAGCGTGGCCTGATCACATTCGAGAGGCCAGCCTCTCGTAGGGCAATGGCCTTTGATCATTTCAGAAGCCCGCGCCCTCATTAAGCCGTGGTGCTTGATTGCATTCTTGAAGCCCGCCCCCTCATCAGGCAATGGCGGTTGGTCGCATTTCTTAAACCTGTCCCCTGATGAAGCGACGGCGGTTGATCACATGTCTTGAGCCCGGTCGATATTCGGCAATGGCGGTTGATCATATTGCTGAAGCCCGCCACCTCGCTGTGCAATGGCGGTGGTTCACGGTTCTTCAACCCGCCCCCTCACTAAACGATGGCGTTTCGTCAGAACTCTTCAACCGCCTTAATGCGTAACGCATTTCTTGCACCTGCCCCGTCATTCAGCCACGGCGGTTAGTTGCATTCACTCAAGCCACGCCCTGTTTCGACGATGGCATTTGATCGGTTCATAAACACCCTCATTGGGCGATGGCATGTGACGAAAATTTCTTCACTTACACCGGTCCCCTCATTAGGCGATGGCGGTTGGTCATGTTTGTTAAACAAACGTGAGCGATGGCCTCTCTTGCAGCAACTGTGCCCCAGAGTAGGAGTATGAGGAGGAGTAGTCGTAGTCGTCGTCGTCGTCATCGTCGTCGTCGTCGTAGTCGTAGTAGTAGTAGTAGTAGTAGTAGTAGTAGTTGTTGTTGTTGTTGTACTAGTAGTACTACTAGTACTAGTAGTACTAGTGGTACTAGTAGTACTAGTAGTACTAGTAGTACTAGTAGTACTAGTAGTAGTAGTAGTAGTAGTAGTAGTAGTAGTGTTAGCAGCAGCAGCAGCAGCAGCAGCAGCAGCAGGAGGAGGAGGAGGAGGAGGAGTAGTAGTAGTAGTAATAGTAATAGTATTAGCTAGCTGGCTCGCTTGCTTGACTGCTTGCTTGCTCGGTTGCTCGCTGGCTCACTCACTCGCTTGCTTGCAAGATAGACATTCAAACACAAGCATCCAAACACAGCAATAAAACGAAAAACTGGGACACGGTCTGCAGCTCTTCTTTTGAGTTCTTGGCTTGGCACTGCCTGCACATGGCAGGAGTACGTCGCGAGCTGAGCTGCATAATGCTTCGGTTCTGTTTTCTCTGCTCCGCAGGAGAGAAACCGATCCGCTCAAACAACGGAAAGTCATGATCTTCAAGACGCATGGGAAAAGGCCTGTCTTTTCAAATCGGGTTTGAAGGCGAGGCCATTGCATCAAGCCTGGTGCCTGGTGCCATAGAACAGCACACAGGATCCAAAACTGCTACTGGTTTGGCCTAGCTGGTCTCTGAGATTCTCTAGGCCTGCTCGTCGGCCGTGGGTGGGACTACTTTCACTACTTTGACCTCTGTAGTCTGCTGTGAGTTCACATAGCTGATGACACGGTCCGTCACCAGCCATGAGGCCAGGATAAGCAGCACGCAAAGGCCGAAGGAAAGGCCAGGGCCCCAACCTCCCACCAGGTACGGGATCATGCCTGCCAGCGCAGGTCCCGGGCAGATGCCGACCATGCCCCATCCGAGGCCGAAGAATGTGGCACCCAGCACCAGCGATCCGTAGTCTCCGGTTTTGGATGGCCGCTCGAAGCTGCACTCCTCTCCGCAGAGAGGTTTCCTGTCCTGTCGATCTGCCAGCAAGAACGCCGGGAAGGAGACGCAGAGCCCCAAGCCCATCACGAAGGCCAGGCTCGGATCCCAGGTTCCCCCAAAGTCCAGGAAGTCCAAGACCTTCGCTTGACTGGTCATGCCCGAAACGCCAAGCCCCAAGCCGAAGATCATCCCACACACCAGCGGTGACACGACTCTGCGAGGCTTGGACGGCAGGAACAAAGCCAGTGCAGCAAGGGCCAAGCTGGAGAAGGCTGCCGCAAGAGGGAACTCCCACTTGGGTGGCCACTGGAGCTCTGCCACTCCCCATGGACCACTGGCATCAAGCTTGGCTGCATGCCTGGTCACTGCCACGGTTGCAGCAGCTACGCCCATGAATGTCGGCACCGCAATCCAGCTGCGAGGCGCAAGGCGCGGAAGTCCGCAGATCCCATGGCCGCTGGTGCATCCGCGGCCTGCTCTGGTGCCGATGCCAACGAAGACGCCACCCAAGCAGTACCTGACCACTGAGATGTCCAAAGCCTGAGGATAGGCGAAGTCTCGGTTGAAGGCCAGGTTCAAAAGACCACCGCTGAGCAGCCCCACCAGAAAAAGAGCCTTCCAAAGCTGACCCTCCTTCATTGGCTGGCACTTGCCGACGCCCCGCAAGAAGGGCCCCGCGATGCCACTGATTCCCGTGATCTTCCCGTCACCCAGGTATGCGAGGGCGGCCGACAGGCCGATCAGCAGGCCGCCCACGCCGGACTCGATAGGAGTGAAGGCCATTTTGAGATCTGATGCCTAGCAACAGCCGGTGCAAGCTTCGAATGTCCTGTTTCAGCAGCAGTGCTCTTGAGCCCGAATGCAGCTTCGTGGCAGATGTTGACGAGACCGAACCCCGACAGAATGGCATACTGCGACAACGTTGCTGTTCCATCGCAGCCTTTTCCTGCTCCTGACATCGGTTTCGGTCTATAGGCGGAGGCGTGCTCTCGCACCTTAAGGTGAAACTGCGAATTCCACGAGGATCCTACAAGGCCACTCAGGCGCCTACTTGACCCTGCACGAAGCTCATGACCTGAATTGGCAGAGGCCATGCGGCTTAGCCGGATTTAGGAATATGTAGGATAGTGCGAAGCTGTGAAAGCAGGCCTTGGCAGCTTTCGGCTGCAAAACTGGATCCATCATGGCCATCATCTGAACCTGCAAAAAAACAAGACTCCAGGCAACGAGAACTGCACGAGCACCTCGCGATACCTCAGTGCCTGCATCATAACCATCATGGCATTCTCCTCCGTCACTCCCCACTCCTGCTGAGGCATTTGCATGCAATTCGACCCAAACAAAACTGCGATTGAGAGATGCCACTTCCCATGTGGCTCAGCTGATCTGATGCTGAACTGCATCTCAAACCTGAATTCCAAAGTCAAGAGCTGTAAGCCTCGAGCCCAAAAGACATCAGGATGAACTCTCAAGAATTCGTCCTGCCTCACAAAGCTTCCTTACGCAGTATTTTGCAGGGTCTGTATATAATGCAAGAAGACCCCATACACGCAGTTTTAACGTTCGGGTCCGGCTCGGGTCCCTATCGAAGCGCGCACATCTGCTCCTTCCAGCTGTCACCGACAACGCTCTTGGCCAAAGGCAAAATCTCCTCACGGTGAGGACTCAGGCGGCGAGACTGCACCTCCAACTACCTTGCGGTGACACGCCAGAGGGGCCTGCATCATCAGCATCTGTCGCTTCACTTGATCCTCTGGCTCTGCCTAGCACGATGAGGTGCGGTGTAATTGTCTTGGGGAGCCGGGGTGGAAGACAGCTGAAGCAAGTGGTCGTGCTGCACTGCTCTTCGAAAGCCAAGGCTCTTGCATTGAAGGCCCGACGGCTTACTTAATCAACACTTCGACAATGACCTCTAAACCGAAGATACCAAAACAGTTCTACGCCGCATGTAGATCCCAAGCCCCCAACCCTGGACAAAAGAACCTAAACTCTCAAGCTTGTCATTCTGAATGTCAACTGTCGCAAGAAGCCCGCCTCTTTGGCCTTTGTGATGATATCTTCGACCTCCAGAATGCATTGTACTATGTATCTTTGAAAGCAGACGTGGGTTGGTGCCTGAAGCGTTTAGGGTTTATTTCTCGGGTGTTTCAGGATGCGAAACCCGGGCTTCCAAGTGCCTGCATGGTAGCCCACTTACACGGTCCTCCACTCCTGGTCCTATTCTTCTCCACTGCGACTCTGGGCTCAAGCGTCAACGTTTAGTTCAGGGGGGGCTCGGGCTTGGGGCTTTACGGATTCTGCGTTTCTCTTCGGGGCTTTGAAGGAAGCTTCGGGTGGCCTTTCAGGGCTTCGCACAGAAGATGGGCCAGGCCAGGGATTTGAAGTTGCAGGCTATGGTTCAGATTGCCGGGTGTAGGTCTAGAGCCCAAATGCAAGGTAATAGAACACAACATCAGATACTACAGTACAACGCAAGCTAACACACCATAACCCAATACACAAAAATGCAATCTAACACAATGTAAATATACAGGAATCAACATAACATAATACCATATAAGAAAACATAACATAGCAGACTGTATTTAACATAATATAGACACGAAAGTACAATATGGCATCGTGTGACATGAGAAAACATGGTATACTGTAAAATCATGCAACATAATACAATATCATGTAGTGTAGTATAGTGGCATAGTAAAACACAGTATAACATAACATAGTACCATATAGCCTGGCATGGTGCAGTGTAACACAATACAATATAACATTGTACATTATAACATAATATGCTATAACATAATATCATATAAGCTATCACAGCATGGTATATTAAACATAATAGAACAAAACAAAATCATTACAACATAGTGGAACCCAACATATACATCAGAATGTAGCATAGCATAGTCTATACAAAAAACACAGTTCGCTCGGGCATTCCTTTGCTTCGATTCCTCCCCAGCATCGCTGAGAGGGGTTCCATCTGATGGCAGAAAACATCCCAGACGGAAACGACAGAAGCACTGGGTTCTGTTTGTCTATACATACGTATATGTAGGTAGATATATATATATATAGATAGATACATATATATATATATATGCATAGATATGTGTGTGTGGAGCCAGAGCTATAGAGAGTGAGAGAGAGAGAGAGACAAAAAAAAACAACTCGGACACAAAGACAGAGAGTGACAGAGAAGAAGAAGGTGTGCGAGGGGAGAAGAATCTGACAAACAACTCTCTATGTACATATCTGTAATATGGACACGGACTCATATAAATACAAAACCGTGCTGCACCCAATTCTTCGCAGATCATCTACCAAATTCAACGCTAGATTTCGGCTGATCAGCAGAAGGACAGGCAGTGCAACTGTTGATGACACACACACACACACGCACACGCGTGTCGCGCCTTCTTCTTGGTCGCTTCATCCTCGAGCGCGACGATGGCCTGTCGAGGCTGCTTTCACCAAACTTCTGTAGGACGCCCCACCACATCTGGGGCTTTCTTCATGTGGGGCCTCCCTGGTTGTGCCTGTGGGATGAGAACGGGACTCAGGATCTCAAGAGGGGACTTCTTGAAGATAACATAATATAATAGAATAGAATATAATAGAATGATCTAGGATTTTGAGCTCAAGGAGGCCTTGTCCACCATCTGCCCGGCAAGCTCTGGAGTGATCGTTGGCATGGCAGGCGCAGCCATGGCTCAGAGACTTCAGCGGGACCCCTCGGAAATCAGATCTTCTAATCGAACCTCTGGGGCCAAGATTTGCGGAGAAGGAAAAGAGAGGTGCTTTTGCGTCCGCAGGCGTGGCGCAACCTGCAACTACGCATGAACTCACAACGACTAACCAGGTCCGCTAGGACTGGATCCTGGAACTTTGAAACAGTTGATGGGCCACCCTCATCCCCTCCATCTTAGCTAAATTTCAGGCCCTCGATCCTTTTGGCCACACTGCTTGTCCGTCCGGCGGTCATTGCACCAGACTCCCAGTCCTTGCATCATCTGCCGAGGGCTCCGTCTCCAGCGGGCGATAGCCAGCTTTGGGCCAGTGCCAGGCAAACTCTCTCATCTGCACAAAGGACCACATCAAGTGGAAGAAGAGGACGAAGCCAGGGACGGCGAGGAACAACCTACAGCTCTCAAGTCTCACCCCTTCGATGAGTAACGATGGGAACATGCTCCTGTGCGACCTTCGATATACCAACAAGTCCAATGGATTCTGCAGATACCTTCCACGGGACTCAACAACTCTGTCTACGCTATATACTTGCTACAGAACTACTGCTGAGGTGCCAAGTTGCATGAGCAATGAGCCATGCTTTATGATGGTAAGCCACAGGGCATCAAAGGCCCAACAGATCGAGCCCATCATCATCGACTGAGTGGCACGCACCATGACATTCGGAAATGTTTGGAAGAAATCTCTGGTGGCTGCTTCTGGCACCACAGCCATCCACACCAGAACACACGTCGTGTACATCACGGCATGGGCGCAGCCGATAAGGGAGAGCCAGCTAAGTGTCACATGGATCTCGTTGCAGGGCACCCGGCTACAGTCGATCCACTTGGATGCATCCTGCTCAACCGTCTTCCCTGTCTTCTCCATGGTCAGGATCAGTGCCGCCACCACACCGATGGTGGTAAAGCTCGTGACGGTGGACTCCCTGACCTTCTCCAGCTCGGCATCCGAGCTCTTCTCCAGTAGTTTATGGATGATCGGCATGGCACATGGAACCTTCTGAAACCTACAGCTCAGCCAGACTTCATAGTTCAGAGATTGAGATTGATTTCCCGCCGAAAGGACGTCCCAGAGCATGAGCAGTCAGTTTTTTTCGCGTCGCACACGCTCGACAGTCTCACCCTTTCTGAAGCTGCTTGCTCAAAGGCTCAAAGATCTACCCTTCATCAGCTTCCAAGTACCGCTATCGCAAGCTCATCAGTCTCAGTTCCCTTTCCACTACTTACACTACTCCTCAAAACCCTAGCAAATTCACCCTTAAACCACTAAACCATAGACTCTTCCCGCCCACTCAGAAGGGCCGCAGGAACCGATATCGGTGGGTCTTGCCGCGCTTCCGGGGCTGAGCAGGGCGTCAGGGCATGGAATGGCATGGATAAGATGCGCCATGAAGATGCACCCCTAAACCCCATAACATAGGAGCCTTCCGAATCAGTGGGAGGATATTATACCTGATTATAGCACAGTCATTTAGGGACCATAAGACTGGTAAATTCTGTCATAGCTGTAGGAAAGGGCCCTAGATCAGAGATACTGAAAAATCCCAGGACCACGAACCTTGAAACTCTCAACATGAAACCTTAAACCCTAGACTGCAAAATTGCCCAAACCCCGGTACATCTCTGAAACGTTCAGATCCCGGCCACCATACTGAGCTTGGCACCCTTGCAATTTTTTAACTTTGGCTGTTTTCTTAGGTATATTTATGACCAAAAGTGAAAAAAGCATTTCCAAGTACCCCCTGAGGCTAGCCAAGGCACGCTCACATTGTTCTTCCCGCCTCCGCCGAAGGTTTGACCGTAGCGAAAGCCTTCAGATCTCTAATGCTGCGCTGGGAGTGTCTTTATAAAGGTTTCTATAAGGTTTCTTTAAGGGTCCTACTACAATCTTTATAAAGGTTTCTATAAGGTCTACTACAGGGGTACTTGGAGGTTCATGGGACTTTTTGGTTCACGGCTTCGGGCTCAGAGAAGTCTGCGTTTCCATGGGGTTGCTGTGGGGCTCTGAGGCCTCAACCGTGCCAAAAGCCCTAAACCCTCTGTTGAGGTCTTTTTGGTCTTGCGGTTCAGGTGCACGGTAAGCGCCTGGATTCAGTCTGTTATTCATATTCCTACCACTACTACCATTCGGACCATTCGTATAATTACGGTTTGGATTTTTCTTGCGATTGTCGAACCATTATAACGCCTGGATTCAGCCTTCTGCTCTTTCCAAACCTGCTTTCCAGGCGTCGTGGCGGGCTTTTGCCGGGTTGGGGCCCTTTTTTCAGATAAGGCTTTCTGGGGCTTTATAATTTTGTAGGGATGTTTTTGTCACTGTGCAGGACTTTCTGGGGGCAGGGCAAGAGAAAGCAAGTCCGTTTGGGTGTGCGGGCGGAGGGGGGGTACTGATTCGTTCAAAGGCAGCTAAAATAGGGGCCTTATTCATTAGAGCAGGGTTTGGTGTATACTATACTAAAAATATCATAAGGAACCCCCAATACCCTATTCTGATTATTAAGGCCCCCACACTAACCGAACAGAAGCTTACAGAAAGGCGGAAGTCTGGCAGGATCATGGATCAGGCCTGAAAAAACTGGCCCAATTATAATAATTCTCACCTCGTACCTCGAATTTCATATTTCACCGGGCCCTGCTATTTCACGTGCCTCGTCTACCTCGTAGTTTCAACCGCGTGTGCTAATTTATGTCAATCTCGGAGTTTTCCCACTCAGCTCCATGGGCTGAGCGCACTCAGCGAATTTGCCGCAAATTCAGCTGAATTGGGGGTCTGGCCCCGTGCCTCCGAGCGTTGAGCTTGGGGGTGGAGGGTCGAGGGCTGAGTTGGGTGAGGGGTCTGAACCAGCGAATTTGCCGCAAATTCGCCGGGCCAGCCTGGCCAGCCCACCGAGAAGGAGTGGCCACCCCAAAATCTCGATTCCAGGTGGGGAAACGACAAAAAGACGCCACTAGGGATTGAGCCTGCGAACATTTCTTAAGAGACTACAAGGCCATGTGTGCGACAACTGTGCTATGGCAGGCTTACCACTTCCTACGCCCACAGCCATCAAACTTCCAGAATTCCCATGCCGGGCGACCCACCCTGGGTGGCGTTGTGGAGGAGGGAGTGGGGGTGGCGGGAGGGGAGGGGCTGTGGCAGCGAATCTGCCGCAAATTTGCTGGATTCAGGAACCGGCCCTCAGCCTGGCCGGTCTTGGCCAGGCCACTGGGGTGGAGGAGGGAGGGGGTCGGGTGGGTGGAGGACGGCGGGAGGAGTGTGGCAGCGAATTTGCTGCAAATTCGCTGGCACAGCGAATTTGCTGCAAATTCGCTGGAGACAGAATGGGGTGGACGAGGGAGTGGGGGTTGGGTGGGTGGAGGAGGGGCGACAGAAACTGGGTGAGCTCAGCCAGCCTGGCCCGGCTTGGGATGGCAGGGCGAGCCTGCGCACTTCCCTGCAAAATAAAACGTTGCTTGCCTCAGTTTGCTACCCGGAAACAGACTTTCATGCAGGGTTATCAAATCATGATTTGCAAAAAAGGGGCGGGAAACAAAAGTGAAATCAACCGAATTTGCTGCAAATTCGCTGGATTTTCCCTTCCGGGCTTCCCAGCACCTCTCCCAGAACGGTCAAGGGCTGCCACACCCAGGACCTAAAATCAATCGAATTTGCTGCAAATTCGTTGGGTTTGCCTTCTCTCCTCCTGCCTTCTCCCCAAACGTGCAGATGTACGTGTAGGGAAAAGTAACAACATAGCAATCGTAGCTATAGATGCAGCCTAGCTAGCACAAGCAGGAAGAGTCGTCGTCGTCGTCGTCGCAGGGACCAGGAAGTTGCCGTTGTGGCCTGCCCAGGGGCATTTGACTTTCGCTGCGGCTTCAGGCGGGCCAAAAGGTTCTTACGGCTACTGGATTTTCTGTTCACGGTTTTTTGGGGCCGGGTTTTTGGCAGACAAAATTACGATAAGGGTATGACGGTTTTGTTAGCACCCAGCCGGCAATTCACTGGGAAGCTGAATTTTGATGTGTTCCAGTGCTGCGGGCTGGCCGCCCGCAGGTTTTGACGGCGACTGTTTTGCTGCCACAGCCCCTCCCACCCGACCCCCACTTGGGCATCGGAATTCTGGAAGTTTCATAGTTGTGGGCACAGAATTTGACAAGCCTGTCATGGCGCAGTTGTCGCACAATTGGCCTTGTAGGTTTTTGGGAAATGCTTGCTGGCTCAACTCCCGGCGTCTTCTTTGCATTTCGATTGGCTGGCGGCCAGACTCCTCCATCCCGCCACCCAGGGTCGGCCGCCCCTTTCCGGTCTCCCGCTGGTCGCGCTTTCGCTGCCATCCCTCACCCTCCCTCCACCCACCCCACATTGGCTGGCAGCCAGGCTCCTCCATTCGCCCTTCGCGAATTCGCGCACCCTCCCTCCACCCACCCCACTCCCACTCCCTGGCGGCCAGGCTCCTCCACCCCGCCACCCAGCATCGGCCGCCCCTCCTCCCACCCTTCCGGTCTCCCACTGTTCTCCAGCGAATTTGCGGCAAATTCGCTGGATTTGTCGCAAATTCGCTACCAGCCCTCCTCCCCCCCTCCACCCACCCTGTTTCCAGCGAATTTGCGGCAAATTCACTCCCTGGCGGCCAGGCTCCTCCACCCCGCCACCCAGTCGGCGAATTTGGGGGAACGCGGATTTGTGGCAAATTTGCCAGCCCTCCTCCCACCCTCCCTCCACCCACCCGACCCCCACTCCCTGCTCTGGTGGGCTGGCGGCCAGGGCCCGGTTCCTGAATCTAGCGAATTTGCGGCAGATTCGCTGCCCCCGAATACCCCTACTTCGGACCTCGGCACATCGCAATTTCGGGTCTTATTTCGGGACGGTTACCTCGCAATTCTCTGGTGAGGTCGCTGACGTCGCTATAATTTGGGCAGGAAAAAAGGGTTAGAATAGGGCTTGGGGGTAGAAGCAGAAGTATAGTAGGGGCGATGAGCGGATAGTGTTTGTTGGTATTCAGACCACAGCATTGCCAAAACGCCACCAACAACAACGACCCGGCACCACAAAAACATCCAAGCGTCGAGCTTACCCATTGCGAGCGACCCCCCGTCCCTCCTCCTGACAAACCCTATTTCAGAAAAACGCGAATGCCGCAACGATTTGTGGACATCCTTCCACTTGCAGTAGGCCTGCAAGCCCTGAAGAGATACACAGGACAGAAAAACCCGAAACAAACCCTGAATTCTGAACCGAGAAGTTTGAAAACACACTATGAATTAAAGTCTTAAGCCCTAAGCTACCAGGGACTACACCTGATGCCATATACATCAAGCCTAAATCGTGAATGCACAGCCGAGGCTCTGTTCGGCTCGCGGTGGTCTGCGTGGGCCTCCTCAAACGACTTTGCCTGGCAGCTTTCAGCAGACAAAACATGCTTTAGGGCTTCGGTTTAAGATGAAGGGTCCAGGGAAAGATTCCGGTGAAGTTCACGTCTGTTGTTCGAGGTCTGGAGCTGTCGGCATGAGCACTTTCGTACTTTACCTTGCCCGTGGCTTTTCAGCCTCATCACTCCGAAGCCTCAACGGCCTTAAAGCCCACAACTTAGAGGCTCCCGAAGTACTCCATGTCCAGCTCTTGGGCTTCCTTAGAGGTCCGGGACATATGTTCCGGCAGCATTGTGAACATCCTCTGAACTTCGAGCCGGGGTCTTCCGGCAGACGATGCTGTTGCACTTGCGCTGCAACGCCTAGCATTCCTGGTGTGGGTGCTGCCTTGCCACTGTTACAAGGAGTACGAATCGACCACTTCTTGCCACGACTACGCCTATACGACGACGGCGAAAGCTGAAACCACAATTCCTGCTACTGTTGCTCGGACTCCTTGATTTCCACATTTGCTACTCCTACTTCCTAATAGCAAACCTACTATTGTCACACAAAGGCTACTGTTGCCATTTTCCCAAAAACCTAGACCCTAAACCCACCCTAAGCCCACCCTAAACCCTAAACCCTCAACCCTAAACGCAAAACCCTAAACCCTACACCCTCAACCCTAAACCCTAAACTCAAAACCCTAAACCCTCAACCCTATGCCTGGTCTCATCACATAGAACCCCAAAGCTCAGCGTAGAAAGCCCCGTGGCCTCTCCGAGGCGACGCCGGAAGGCGGCCGTCAAGGCGGGGCTGTCGCGCCACCAGAGATTCAGCTCGGGCTGGACCTCGGAGAGGAGGGGTTTAGATTGCTTTTAATTTTTGTTTAGGGTTTTAAGGGGGGTTAGGGGGGTTTAGGGTGGTTTAGTGGGTTAGGGTTCAGGGTTGAGGGTTTGGGGGTGTAGGGTTTCGGAGGGCACCGGGCAGTGCACAGCAGATGGTATCACGGGTGCATGTCACTTCGAGGTACCTACTCACCTCGAGGGATTCCAAAGCGCATGGGACCTGCGGTTCCTCCCAAACTCGAAGATCATCGACATGCGTTGTTCTTCTTGCGACTGTAGATCTCACTAGCATCACTACTTCTTGCTTCGGCCAAGGCCGGTAAACAGATACCGGGTCCGCCCCGACAATATCCACAACAAATGCCTCGACCACTACGACGACGACTGCAGCGATTGGTTGACAATACTTCATGGCGAGGCTATCAATATGTTGACAGATGTCCCTGTGACTATCGTAATTCTGAGCATTTCTTGTGAGCCCCCTTCAGAGCACTATGTTGTGTCGTTGTCATTGCTGTTGTCAATTCTGGCCATGGCCTTCCCCGAAGCAGCAGCATCATTATAATTATCGCCATCATCAAAACGAAAGCAAGCACTAGCACAGTATCCATTGTGATAATGAGCTATCATCTTCCATATTCCAGAACAGCACGCCAGCCACCATCACCAAACTCTCAGCTCCTTGATGTTTTGTCGTCAACACAACTACTAGTACGGTTGTTCTGTTGCGACTGCCGTAAGCATCGCCTAAAAACGATGCCACGGTTCTCTTAGGTGCTACTATGGCTGGTGTCAAAGGCAGCATCGTCATGATGTGTGCTTCGAAGATGTTTGTTGCAGTCTGTGTGCGTGTGTGACTTCCAGTGAATGTTGGTTGCAAGTGTAGTAATTACTGATAATTGCTGCTCTTCCGATTCCTGGCATGCTACCGTCGCCGTCAACCCTCTCATTTATATCACTTGTCTTTGTGGTAGTGCAGATGTTGCTACTTGTTTCTTGCTGCCATCTCACCTACCGCTCCAGTAGCGCCACCAGCAGGAGTAGGGGTAGTGGGAGGAGTAGCAGTAGGAGTCGGAGGAGGAGGACGAGGAGGAGGAGGAGGAGGAGCACCCCAGCGGCAGCAGGAGTAGTAGTAGCTTAGTAGCCGCAGGATGAGGAGGAGGAGGAGGAGGTGTTGCCACTGCAACCGTCACTAAGCCACAGGCGGAACCCTCCATGAACTCTTGCCGTGCCGGGTGCATGTAGCCCTGGCTTGGATGCAAAATCATGCTAAGTGTACCATAGTAGACAGGGTCTACCGTAACATCCTATAACATAACATGCTGTACTGAAACGTACTAGACCATACGATTACACTAACTTACTATCGTATGACGAAAGATGCCAGATTATCCTCCTCGCACCGGCTACAGTTGTCCAGAAGTGGCACTACAAAGCCGCCCTAAACCCTAAACCCTAAACCCCAAACCCTACGGAATGCATCAACCGGCAACAGGTTGCCACCGGCCGCAGATCTCGGCCCGAGGACAGCATGGTTACGGTTACTTTTATAAGGGCTCTTTAAGAGTACTCTTTGGGCCCTGTAATTACGGGTTTAGGGTTCAGGGCTTCCGGCCGTTTCGTTAGCATGATGTTCAAAATTCAAAAGCATTGCATTGCTTTTGGGTGAGTTATGGGCTTTTGCAGTCTGCAGGGGTGGTATGAGACATTTTGTTGAGCTTCGTGACTGTCGGCGAGCCGACGAGTCAGCGTAGGAGGCTGGATATTTCTTGATTCATTGATATGTGTCCTTGTAGTTCTACGTAACTCTGATTATTCTCACTACTGCTCTTACTGTCCTTATGAACTTCTGATGATGACTTTTTATTCGTATTGGTTCATGCTCCCTATCCTTTTCATGACCTGTGGGTTCTTGCACCGCTTAGGGTGTACACGCACGGACCGCTCCATGTCTCGAGGTGATCACACAAATCACCGAAATAGAAAATCACCGAAGAAGGCATATAGGGTTTAGGGGCATAGGCATCAATTTCAACAGCCTCCTAAACGGCTCAGAAATGCGTATGCGGCATATAATATGCATTGTCTGGCAGACTGTGGGACTCACTGATTTGCTGGCTGGCAGATCGATATTTTTGCTCTGTTCGACTCCATGTTTTCCTTAACAACGATTGCCCTGCTCAAAGCCAGCAAGCTGCATAGCGAAGCAAGCCTCAATCTAGTCCCTGAAACCGGGCAGCCGCCTGGGCAGGCAAGTAGTACGGAGAAAACCTCAAAAGACGCCAACGAGAGAGCTTCACAGCTCTTGTCGGTAGCTCTCAGGGTTCGTGGAACTGCGGCAGCCACCCTCCACGGTCTTCACTCGCGCAGGTCGCCATTACAAAACTGCCAGCTAGAGAGAATATCATACAATTAAGGTTTTGGCACCCGATGGTCCTGGGGCCCTGGCTTTGCATGCTGCTTGGCCATGGACACGCCCGAGGCTTCTTTCTTGGCTTCGTGCACCTCGGTGCGTTCCACGGCAGGGCCGAAACGACCCCAACAAAGTCTCTCCGCCCTCTCACCCGAACTCCCAAGCCCCAGCCTTCCGGAAGGCTTTAAGCATTTTGGGGTTGCAACGGTCTCTTCTTGTATGGTTTAACGGTTGTGGTCTGCAGCAAAAGGATGAAAACCCTCACCGTGGCCCGAACAGTTTGCATGTTTTCATGACTTCCGCACGGATTTTCCACATACGTTCCTAAACCCCCCTGAACCCCAAAACCCTAAACCCTGCCAACACCCTCAGACCCTGCCTCAACCTTGAACTCCGGCCCCAAAACAGACTTGCCAATCTGCAAAACCGAAACACCGAAGCCTCAATCTGCAAACTGTGGACCATGAAAGCCCCAAGCCCTAGCCGTTTAACCCTAAACCCTACATCCTAAACTTCAGGCCCCCACACCCTAAACCCTAACCGTCTTACCCTAAACAGGTCTCAGTTGGTCTGCTAGAGCAGCAATGGAAATCAACTTGCTTCAGAATCGGAAATCAGGATCCGCAGAGACTTCCAACACGTAGAAGAGCTTCCAGTTGCCCAACAAGGACTCTGGCTGACGCAGGGACAGCAACAGGGCTTTTACCCCAAAACCTTGGCTCCCAGCATAGCGCGTGAACTCTGGATCCTGACCAACAGGTGGTGTCTGTATACCGCACTATAAGGGCCTTGTTGGTTTGAATACGGCTCTGGGTACGTAATGAAGAACACGGCCCCGGTAAAGCTCTACAATCCTAGATTCGCGTCCTGGCGGCTCTTCTTCCGAAGGAAGACTTTCCAGGGAAGGCCCCAAGACTTCACCTGCATCGAAGCACAGCACGGCTCGGCTGTGTCTGTTCCACACAGATCTCGGGGCTTCGATTCCAAGAAGGACAGCATGTACATGTAAGAGGGGAGATTTTGAGGGCGCTGGCAAAAACGCTCCGATGCTCCTTCCCAAGCCATGATGCCCGAAACGGTGAGACGATCGGACATTTTGGACGTCAGCTCGTCTTCTAGCACTTCTGCTCTCGTCCAGACCCGGGAGAGGGCCGTCTCGACCACCGCTACACCTCAAACCTAAACCCCACACCCTAAACCCCAGGTTAGCAAAGAGACTCTGAGTCGTGGCAAGAACTCCTGAATCCCAGGATAGTAGACTCTGCTGCAACTGCGTGCCCCATAGCAGAATGGAAAACTTTTATAGTCTGGCATCTCATTAATAACCGAGGGCAATAACAGCTACAAGTTATGGCTATAGTTTTGGTACCCTCAACCCTAAACCCCAAAACCCTAAAGCCCTAAAAATCTAGTACAAATCACATCTCAGCTAAGATCTAGGAGTCTCCGGGCTCTTCAGTTCGTCGTGGCCGGGGCTTCAGCGGACGGGGCTCCACGGTGCTGTCGGCCTAGCAGAGTTTGCTGGGTGTGAGTTTGCCTTTAAGAGTTTAGGGTTCAGGCTTCTGCGGTTTCGGGGTGAAGGATCCGGGGCTTCAGAGTTTAGGAAGGTCTGAGGCTTACTTGGGGCTTTTGGGGGTTTAAGGGCGTAGATGCGAATTGTCCGGTAGGGCGCAACAGCTGGGTAAACGAGTGTTCCCGTGTGGCACTTTTGCCTTTTAGAAAGAGCCTCTCAAGTCCCCGCTCTTTCTATCCAAATCCCGAAACATCAGGCCCTACGCCTAAACCCGAAACTCGCTGAACACGAAGATCGAAACCTGAAGCTCAAACCGGCCGGGCCTTTCTTGCCGGATGAAGTTGCGGATAAAGTCCATGGCGTTTTGCATCACCCACGAGCTCAGGGGAGACCTAAAACCACCTTCGTCAGCTGAACATCAGAAATTGGAACATGGGCAGTTCAAGAGCTCATTCACGATTGCAGCGACACCCCTGCCTCGAACATGAGAGGATCATCACTATCTCAGGTGGTCTGCGCAAAGGTCAGGCAAGCTGTCCTGAGATCGGCATTCCACCCTGGACTCGCAGCTTGCCCTACACTCTCGACCCCCGAACCCCTGTCTGAACTCTAAATGGTGACCCCTAGACCCTCAATCTTCTGAAGCCAATTAGAGAGCAAAGGCACCGAACGGATCAGTCTCTCCGAGGCCGCGCAGCGACCAAAGCCTTGAAGAGACTCCAACATCTCTTGCATATGCTTAGGGGAAGAAGCAGAAGTGGTAGAAGCAGCAGATGCGGTCGTCGTCGTCGTCGTCGTCGCCGCTGCCGCCAAAGTAGTAGTAGCAGTAGTAGTAGGCACCCCCCCCC